CTCTGTGTAGCTTTGCGCCTTTCCTGGAACTCGCTTTGGAGACCAGGCTGGCCTCGAACTCACAGAGATCCGCCTGGCTCTGCCTCCCGAGTGCTGGGGTTAAAGGCGTGCGCCACCACCGCCCGGCTCTGTTTGTTTGTTTTTAACATACAGAGATCTGTCTCTGCCTCCCAAGTACTAGGACTAAGGGTGTGTACCATCTAAATTTTTTGTTTTGTTTTGTTTTCAAGACAGGGTCTTGCTATGTAGCCCTGGCTGTCCTGGAATTCACTCTCTAGACGAGGCTAGCCTGAAACTCAGAGATCCACCTGCCTCTGCCTCTGCCTCTGCCTCCTGGAACTTCCTGTGTAGATCAGGCTGGTCTCAAACTCACAGAGGTCCACCTGCCCTCCTGAGGTGCTGAGATTAAAGGCGTGTGCTGCCACAGCTTAGTGGCGTTTTCTTATGAGTTACTGAATCTCTAATGTCTACATTTTCCTGCTGTACTTGCCTCATCCCAGGTTCACAATCTGTATAGTTGCATAAAAGTAGCAGAAGACTTTGTATCTCCAGAGCACGTGAAGCACTGTTTCCGCCTGACTCAGGAATTCAGGCATCTCTCCAACACTCATACGAATCATGAGGATAAACTACAGGTAAATAATCTTTCCTGTCTTCCCAGGTAATGCTCACGTAGACACATTCTCCACATAGGGTAGTTTCTGGTAGAGAAATGGCTCTGGAAAACTATGTCTGGACGTATAAAGGCTTCCTCCTCCACACATGCCCCCTGGTACTCAGTGTGTACGTGCACATACGTACATGTCACTCTGAGAACACTGTGATGGCAGCCTCAGCTCTGCTAGACCCCAGGCCCATTGATCACTTGGCTTTTCTGTAATGGTTTCACCATCTGACTCACTCTGTTCTCTGACTTGTTCGTGGCTAGCTTGCTAAAATGTAAGCTTAATTAAGCTTGGTGAAGGCAGAAGTTTGTCTCGTTGACGACTTTCCCCAGCACAAATCGGAAACACAGGACACAGTGCAGTTTTGTTAAGTAACAGAAAAGGATCAGTAGAGGCAGAGGGCCTCTTGTGTCATACATATACATGAAATACACATATATACACATACAACACTGTTAAAGTGCCAGTGTGTCCTTTTGTCTTACTTTTCCACCCTAGAAATAATACTCTTCTTCTCAGTCCTTTTAAAGTCTTCAGCCTGACAGTTTATTTTAATAACGTTAGTGAAATCTTCCAACATCACATGTAAAATATGTCTCTTTTAGACAAATGAGAATAGACACATAAGCTCTAGGCCTGGTGGCACATTCTTGTAATCCCATTACTTGTGAATCTAAATTAAGAAGCTCATAGAGTTAGAGGCCAGCCTTGGCTAAATAGTAACACCCTGTCTCGGAAATGGGGGAGGGGAGCTGGCAAGATGGCTCAGTGAGTGACGGACGGCACTTGCAGCTAAGCCTGGGGACCAGAGGCTAGTCACTGAACCCACCTCGTGCAGATATCCCGTTGCCTACCCACGGGCACTGTTTATCGATGTGGGGTCTTGGGCAGGAGTATTTTGGACAGTCTTTTGTCCAGGTTGGCCTCAGCCATTGGGATTACAGACATGTGCCACGGTGCCCGCTCCAGTTCCCTGTAACTTGATCTTCTCAGTCTCATATCTTTAAACAAGGCTCCTGATAAAATGTACTTCATGGGCTCATGGCAAAGATTAACCAGCAGTCTACCTAATAGCTTTATGACACTGCCCAGCACCTAGTGAGAACAGGAGGGATGGTGGCTGTACACGTTCTTCCTTGAGTGTGACCCTCATACCCTGCATGACTTATAACTCATTGGGGCTTGGTTTGGGAAGCGCATAGGTACTGCCGGGGTGTCCCCATTAGCTTCAGTGGCTTGTTGTTGGAGTAGGTCATGGATCTCATTTGTGAGCTGCCCTGGACTGACAGTGCTAATTCTCTCCAGGTGAAGAACATCATATACCATGCAGTGAAAGATGCTGTTGGTACTCTCAAGGCCCACGAATCCAAACTGGCAAGGTCGTAAGGCCTGGGGACCTCCCAGCTCTCCTGTGAAGCAGGCCTTTCACAACACTCACCAGGGAAGAGCAGGGCTCTCTGCAGGAGCAGCCGCCCTTCCCCGAGCCAGTGTGGTCAGTATTACAACTCTCCAGCCCCTCTCTCTATGCTGCCTCAACACTGAAGGTCGACACAAGAAAACCGCACTGCTCACACACAGTTTCAGACTCGAAGCCGAGGGTGCCACATTCCCATCCAGTGGCCTTTTGGGAATCCAGGTTGCTTGAACATCGCTGGGCTTTCCTGCACATTCTCCTGGTTTGAGACCATGGAAACCAGGAATGTGGGCACACCTTCCTTCTCTGTTCCTCTTGTGCCTAGCTAAGTGGGACTGTGTTTGGAGGCGGAGGAAGTCAGAATGGTAAAGAAAGGTGATGATTGAATGTGCCGGGTGGAAGCCTGGCTGTGTCTCCGCACATGACTTCTGACCTGGCCCATCCCAGGAGATGGGGGAGCAGCCATTCCCCATACTCTCTGTGAACATTGGAGTCTTCAGGACCCAGGGAGAGCCCACGGCTTTTCCCAGGAGGCTCCAGGATTAGGAAACGTGTGTATTTAGTGAAAAATAGGTTTGTAGTGAAATAGTTACTATTTCATGAAAGTAGATATTTTTAGAACTTTTGAAATAACACAGTTGTTTTCCTGGACTCTGAGGAAAGGCACATTACTTTAGTCTTCCTTTCAATAAAACTCTTTGAAAAGATCTGATTTTTAGAACTCAGCTGCCCCTTATAGCACAAGATCAGCCAAAGCGTAATTTAGAAGAATTGGCGTTTAATTAAAATTCTTTGAGTTTCTCCCTCCTCTCTGTCTTATCTGGAGGGAACAGTTGTCTGAGAAAGAACTGTGTCATGTCTGAGCTGTGGAGCGCTCCCCGTGTGCACACTGCTGACCCCAGGAGCTGTTTGCCGACTGCCAGCGTTCCACAGGACTCCTCGGATGTTTCCAAATGGGGTGGAAAGTTTGGTTTCCAGTATAAGAGTTTTTTGTTTTTATTTTGGAGTTTTGTCTGGAAATATTTTCAACAAAACTTTACAACTCAGTGGAGTTTTTATTAAGAATTTACTTGGAAATGATGGAATTCACTGGCTCATAGATACGTTGGGAAATGTATCTCTTTCCCGGTGTCCCGCCCCGCAGCCTTGGTCATATGTTCACAGTTACCTTTTTTTTTTCTTTTTTTTTTTAATAAAAGTCATTTACTGTAGAATACTTTTAATTTCACTTTCTGTACTTAATTTTATTGAAGGGCTGATTGGGATTTCCATGTTCTTATTAAAAATCTAACAAATCTGTTTGGAGTAGACAAAATTCTTTGTGTGCCAACCTTTCTAACATCAAGACCACACTGTGGGCAGTTAGTTAAGAGATGGGGGTTGATTTCAGGTCTACTTGCCGCCCTGCGCCTGGTGATCGCCCTTCACTGTTGCCTTGTGCCCAGGGAGGCTAGGAAGCAACCACCTGAGTTAATTGGTGAGTGGGCAGAGGGATTGTTTCCCTGTAGTTTATTCTCAGTGAACAAAAAGGGGTAAGTGGGGTCCTCCTTCTTTCTCTAGGGTGCAGGACGAGAGAACAGCAGCCTGAACAAAACTCCAGGCAAGGTTGTGAGGTTCTGCGGCTGCATACCACAAGTGTGTGGCCTAGGTAACCTCAAACAGTGGAAGGGGACCCAACTGGGGTTCTGTTTATTTATTAAGCAAAAGGAAAGTGTTCTCTGGGTAAGGACAGACTGCATTCTAGGTAAAGGGGGCCTTTTGGGAAGGGAGTTGTACAGAAAAGCAAGAGGCACCATCAGAGGCCCGCATCTCTGAAGCCTGTTTGAAAACACCTTCCAAAGCATTTGAGCCCAGAAACATAATTATCAGGCTACAAATAGACCGTTTGTGTTTTTCAAGGGTGCTAGGTTTGAATCAGAGTCTTTGAATTGAAATACAGAGCTGTGAGCATGTCCTTACAGCCTGGATGGGACAGGTTAATAGTGTGGTCACCAAAAGGATTATACCTCAACATAAAGACACCAGGATGCGGCAGCTTTAAAGTGGGACGAGAAGGAGGGCAGTGGAGGAGGGATGCTTTGGAATGAAGTTGCTTTGGTGAAAATCAGGAGGCAAGCTAGCCTACATTCTGGATATAAATGTCTTCAGAATTAGGACATCCACTACCGGTGGTACTCTGATGGGGGTGGAGCTGAGGTCTCCGGACTTTTCACTGACTTGAGACCCACTCCTCTCTCTCCTACCCCCTGCCTGTGAAATTAAATCTCATATATCCCTAACCCCAGCACAATTTACCACCCAAAAGTCCGATCAAACCATGTGGGCAGGTTCCCTTTAATCTGGGAATTGGCGGTTATTGACGAGGACTGGGGTGGGCAGGTGCAGCTGTGCCTGGCCCCAAGCGCCCAGGTAGACGTCCTTATGGGGCCTGTACAGTGAAAGAGTTTTTGATGGTCAGTGTTTGGAGCATGTAGCCTGTAAAATAAACTTCTTAGTTTCATATCATAACAAGTGTGACTTGGTGGTTTTGTGACCCTCATAGTAGCGAACCAATAACCCCCACCTTCAAGATGAGGCTAATTATAACTTCTGCCTTATAGGGTAGTTGTGAGGATTCAATGAAATAACATGCGAAGCTCTAAACACGGTGCCTGGCAGTTAAGCAATAAAGCAGCTGTTGCCCCTCGGGGGGGATTTTTAAGCCTTCAACCTGATGTGGGCAGGGCCGGAGGTGGGTGGAAGCTGATGTCAAAGGATGGAAGCAAAAGGGTCCCCGCCGAGAGCTTGGCCTCCAGCTTGAAGCTCAAGCAAAGTGAACAAGCGATTTAGAGCAAGGCTGGGCACTGAGGGTGAAGGCGCATGCCCAGCCACAGCAGGTGCTGGGGGGGCGCGCCGACACCGCGGCCTCCCCTTTAAGAGCCGCCACCGCCCACGGCCCGCTGCTGCGGCAGGGACCTCCCCTTTAACGGCGGCAACTCCGCGTTCCGCTGACCCCACGGCGGCTGCCGCTGCTAACTGCAGCTCCTGCTGCCTCCACCGCCGGCCTCGGGCAGCAGCATCCTCGCCCAGGCTGGGTCCCCGCCCCACCATGGTGTCCTGGATCATCTCTCGCCTGGTGGTGTGAGTGCGGAGGCAGCGGGGCTCGCCCGGGTTGGGGGTGAGGGGGGCCGGTGATGGAGGGCGCGGTATTCAAGCCTGGGATGGATCAGCCCAGGGTCCCTATGTGGTGTCCCCAGAGACAGAGATGTGAGACGGAAGACTGGAAGGGGAGCATAGCGGGAGCATGGCAGGCCTGGTTTCCCAGAGACCTCACCCATATTATTTTTAAAACCTGTTTATTCTTAATTGCCTTGCTCCTGCGCCCTCCCCCATCCTAGAGGCTGAGCAGCTACTGATTTATAAGGGGAGGCGGGCACATCCCCTCCCCCACTGAGCAGATCTAGGCTGGAGGAGCCCAGCGTACAAGACCTTCCTTTCCCTCAGGAAGAGTGGGGAACGTGGCAGGAGCCCCATCATTCCAGAGCTCAGATCCCAAAGATTTCAGGCCTTCCTCCTACTTCCACTGACTGTGGATGAGGACACCTGTCCAAGGCATGCAGGGGGGAAGACTGGGCATGGAAGCCGAGGTGCTGAGAGGGCAAAGTGCGGAGGTGACAGGATGGAGGATGTGTATTGTCTGCCTAGGATGGGAAAACATTTGGTGGCCTTAATTCCAGACACACTGTAACAGTCACATTGTGGAGCCATGGCCCTGGCACCTCCCCCAGATACAGGAAAACATACCTCCCTCCCCCAAACACACACAAGCCTAGATGTTGGCCCTGAGGATTCTGCCCCACTACCCAACATCAGCACGGGCAGTGAGTGCCCTGCCTTGGCAGGGAAACACCCACACTTGAAGGGGCCGGGCTTGAGAGCCAACCCTCTAGTTTAGGGCTCTGCCCCTCAGCCTTCGTCAGGACTGGCATCCCCATAGCAGCCCCACCCTTCTCCCCATTCAATGTTGTCACATACTTGTGTCCTGGTTTCCTCTCAGACCACTGGAGTTTCCTCTTCCCACCCCCTAGAGGCCTTATCTCTCTGTGTGGCATTCAGGATGGCTGCTTCTGGCCTGGGCAAACTCCCTACAGGATATATGACTCCTCCTCCCCCATTGATGGGATGCTCAGACATGGGCTTCTCTACCTGACCCCAGACTATATTGACATGGGGTTACAAACCTCTTTGTCTCTTTCAGGGCCTCCTGGCCCTGTGCCCTCTGGTCCCAGGACCCCAATGTCTCTCTGGCGGCCAGGTTGGGTGCCCTGTTAGGTGATGTTAGATGTGGGGAACTGGTCCTACACAGCCTGTCTCTGAGAAAAGGAAGTGGAGAGTATGAACAGATGGGCTGAGTGCGCATTAGGCCAAGAAGGAAGACATCTCATGGCAGTGGCCAGCCCCCTCAACTCCTATAACATGCTGTACATAGCCAAAGATTCTGATGGAAGGGCCCACTTTGGATCCTCCTGCCTCTGGGTCTAGGGAAAGGGCCTCACTCACCCAGGCTGGATGTGTGTCTCAGAGTCTTGACTGCTCTGACCAGAGCTCCCCAGCCAGCTGGCGCTTCTTTGGAGCTCTGTCCCCTTGCACCTTAGCCCCCAGGGGCTGATGCAGAGCTGGGAGGGAGAAGGGCCCAGTAACCATGCCTGCCTCCCTAGGCTCATCTTCGGCACCCTGTACCCAGCCTATTCTTCCTACAAGGCGGTGAAGACCAAAAACGTAAAGGAATATGTGAGTGAACAACTCTTCCCCCATTAACAAATTGGGAGGGGCGCACATTTTGTCACATTCCAGGTGGGGGTAGAGTGTGGCTTTGTGCCACACTATCCAACAAAGCACTGAGCAAAAGAGGTTCTGGGATGTCTCCTATTCCCCACCCAGGCTTGGTCTGATTGACAAATGTGAGGTCCTGGGTAACTTTTTCCCAGGACTTCAGTTTAGAGCAGGTAGCAATATGTGGTCCTGGGTTTTCTTGGCTTAGCCCTGGTATTCGGGGACCTTGGGTGTTTACATCCCCTCCATCCTAGGCCTCATTTAATACTACCCTTTGTCCCTCAGGTAAAATGGATGATGTACTGGATCGTCTTTGCCTTCTTTACCACAGCTGAGACACTTACGGATATAATACTGTCCTGGTGAGGTCCAATGTTACCTCCTTGCATCTCAAGACCCAGATTTCTTTCTTCCTCTAGCCAGGCAGATAGGCAGAAGATTGGGACCCCAACTCCCAACAGTCCCTCAGTGTCCTTAATACCTCTCCAAAGGCCTGATATCAGCATAGTAAGAAGCCGGGCATGGCGGCCCACGCCTTTAATCCCAGCACCTGGAGGCAGAGGCAGGAGAATCTCCATAGCAAGTTCCAGGACAGCTGGGGCTACCCTAGCTCAAACAGAGAGGAAAAAGCCAGAACCTCCACATTTCTTTCTGGTGACAGCCAGCCACAGCACCACAGTGGAATTCAGTGAGTCTGTATCTGCTCCTTCATCCTTCCTGGGACGGTGGACAGATGGCCAGTCTCTAAATCTCATCTTCCTTGTTTGTGGGGCAGGCATGTAGTTCAAGCGTGTGGACACTGGATGCTGTATTTCCAAGGCATTGCAGGCACTAATTGGCCTGAAGTGTAGGCGCGTTATAGGGAAAGGGACTATGTCTGAGTCCACTCAGAAATGTTCACTGCATGAGCAAGCACCTCTTGAAGAGTACACAGCACAGGGAACTGGAGTCACCTGTCATCCCAGCACTGGGGACCTTAAGGTGGGGGGTATCATTGCAGTTTCGAGGCCAACCTGGGCTACATAATCTCAGGGCAGGGGGCAGCAAGGTAGCTCATCAGCAAAGCTCTTGCCACATGAGCCTGATGACCTGAGTTTGATTCCTGCGAGCCATGTAAGGGGGGAAGGAGAGAAGTAGCCCCAGATACTGTCTTCTGACCCCCACACATGCACTATGGCAGGAGCCTGCACCAACACACACACACACACACACACCATATACATGATTACGATTTTTAAAAAGAGGCAATAGCATCCAGGCGGTGGTGGCACACGCCTTTAATCTCAGCACTCAGAGGCAGAGGCAGGCAGATCTCTGTGAGTTCGAGGTCAGCCTGGTCTACAGAACAAGTTCCAGGACAGCCGGGGCTGTTACACAGAGAAACCCTGTCTCGAAAAACCAAACAAAAGGCAATTGCTTACTGGCCTCAGCCATGTTCCTTCCTAAGTCTGCTTTTTTGTTTTGTTTTGTTTTTTAATTCAAAAAAGCATAATTTTTCTTCTTCTCCTCTTTATTCTCTCTCCCTCTCCATCTCCTTCTCTCTCCCTCTCCCTCTCTCCCCCTCTCCCTCTCCCTCCCTCTCCCTCCCCCCCTCTCTTTTCTCCAGACAGAGTTTCACTATGTATCTCTGGCTGGGTTGGCTGGAACCCTTTATATAGCCCAAGTTAGCCTCAAAATTGCAATGATCCGCCTGCCTCAGCTTCCCAAATGCTAGGATTACAGGTGTACACTGCACCACTATGCCCAACTTTCTCTTAAAGAAGAAAAAAGATACTTCCATGTGTGGGTGTTTGGCCTGCATGTCTGTCTGTGCACCACCTGTGTGCCTGGTCCCAGAAGAGGTCAGAAGTGAGTGTCGTCAGTCAGATGGCCTGGAAATGGAGTTACAGTTGTCAGCCACCACGTGGGGGCTGGGAACTGAACCTAGGTCCTCTGCAAACGCAGCAAATTCTCTTAACCACACCCTGGGTCATCTCTTTTCTTTTTTTTCAAGACAGGGTTTCTCTGTGTAACAGCCCTGGCTGTCCTGGATCTTGCTCTGTAGACCAGGCTGGCCTCGAACTCACAGAGATCCCCCTGCCTCTGCCTCCTGAGTGCTGGGATTGAAGGTGAGCGCCACCACACCTGCCCATCTCTTTTCTAAACATGTTTTCCTTGCTACTTGGAGCTTCTCTAACGTTTTACGCTTCTTTACTCTTTCTCTGCCATGTGACAGCTTGTCAGCCATGGGTCTGGCCTCCATGCTGGTTTAAATGGCATGGTTTTCTTCCTTCTCTTCCATTCTCCTCTTCCAGAAAGCTGCCAAGTTTGAAGCTTGCCTGCCTGGAGATTGTTTGTTTGTTTTTTCTTTTCCTTTTTGTAAAAAAATATTTATTTGGGCTGGAGAGATGGCTCAGAGGTTAAGAGCACCGACTGCTCTTCCAGAGGACCTGAGTTCAATTCCCAGCACCCACATGGTGGCTCACAACCATCTGTAATGAGATCTGGTGCCCTCTTCTGTATACATAATAAATAAATAAATCTTAAAAAAAATATTTATTTATTATATATAGTGTTCTGCCTGCACATAAACCTTTATGCCAGAAGAGGGCACCAGATCTCACTATAGATGGCTGTGAGCCACCATGTGGTTGCTGGGAATTGAACTCAGGACCTCTGAGCCATCTCTCCAGCCCTTATTTTCCTTTTAAGCTCTAATAAAGTTGTCCTTGACTTCAAAAACATTTTTAATAAGAGACAAAAAAAAATGTAAAGATTGGAAGACAAAATATCATTTCATTTGTAGATAAAGCCATTGTATCTGCCAGCTATAGTTTTAGTAGAGAGGTAATTTAGAGATTTGTTAAAAGATTCAGGTGCACACCTTAAATCCCAGCACTCAGGAGGCAGAGGCAGGCAGATCTCTGTGAGTTCAAGGCCAGCCTGGGCTACAGAATGAGTTCCAGGAAAGGCTCCAAAGCTACACAGAGAAACCCTGTCTCGGAAAAACAAAAAACAAAAAACAAAAAAGATTCAGGGTGGGCCGGTTGGTGGTGACTCACGCCTTTAATCCCAGCACTCGGGAGGCAGAGCCAGGCGGATCTCTGAGTTCCAGGCCAGCCTGGACTGTTACACAGAGAAACCCTGTCTTCCAAAACAAACAAAAACAAAACAAAAAGATTCAGGGTGGCAAGTCTAGATTCCCTGGGTACCAGTGAAGGAGAGGGCTTTGATGAGGATGTAGAAGACTTGAGAGAGGTTGTGGCCTGGGCATAAAAGCCTGTGGGAAACGGAGAACAGTACTCAAAAGTCAAAGGACCTGAGTGCCTGTTCCTGAAGCAGAGGACCCCTTGCACCTAGGGGTCCAAGGCTAGCGTGAACAGCGCAGTGACACCACATCTCAAGGAAAATTCTAACAAAGATATTGTCGAGCGAGGGAGATGGCTGGGTGGGTGAAGCCTGATGGTTAGCGCAGGACCCATGTTTAAAAGGCGTGATGGCGCATGCTTATAAATCTCAGCTCGTGGAAGTAGACACAGGTGGATTACTAGGGCTTGCTAGCTCCAAGCCAGTGAGAGAACAATACCCAGGTTTGACCTCTGGTCTACATTACATACTCGTGCATGCACATGGACGGGGACACACACACACACACACACACACACACACACACACACACACACACACCAATGAGCACGTAGCAAGCACAGCTACTTGGGGGGCTGGGGAAGGAAGACTACAGACCCAAGAGCTGCCTGGGCAACTTAGTAAAACCAAAAAATCAAAGGCTAGGGGTAGAACCCAATGGTTGACAGCCAAGCATATTTGAGGCCAATACTAAAAAAAGAATAAAAAGCGGGGGGGGGGGGGGGGGCAGATTGTATGGCAGCAAGGATCGATCCAGATTCCATCCTGGTCCTCTTCACGGAAGGAAGGCAAGAACCAGGAAGACAGGAGACCTCAGCACAGAGGGCTTGAGAAGGAGAGATGCTGGTTCTTGGAGGAAGCGGAAGGAGAGCTGCTTGATGGGGAAATTCCTTCTGGGGTCTCTTTTTGCTTCAGTTTTTGAGATAGGGTCCCATGTTCCCTGGGCTGACCCTGAACTACCTATGTAGCTGAAGAGAACCTTGAACTCCTGATCCTCCTGCCTCCACTTCCCAGGTGCCTGAGATTCAGGATAGTAGTACCCCATGCCTGGTCTTTGTTTTGTGGCTTAAGATAGGGTCTTAGGTAACCCAGAGTGGCCACAAATGTGTGATCAGCCTGCCAAGTGCAGGGATTATAGGCATGCACCCCGACTGGGGTCACTTCTTACTTCCCACATGGAGTCTCAGTTTAGCACCCCACCCCCTCCCTCCGGGTCCTCTTGGAAACCTGGTGGCCCCAGAGCCCTGAGGGGTGGGAACTGTCCAGCGTCAGTGCCACTAAATCCAGTGTACCCCTTAACTCATACGCTCTGCCGGCACCTCTGTCCCCCCCAACAGGTTCCCCTTCTACTTCGAGCTCAAGATTGCTTTTGTGATATGGCTGCTGTCCCCTTACACCAAAGGCTCCAGCGTTCTCTACCGCAAGTTCGTGCACCCTACGCTGTCCAACAAGGAAAAGGTTTGCCCCCACCTTTGCCCAGCCTGGTCCAGCTGAGGCCTTCCCCTGCCTGCAGCTACATGCATTTCCTGGGCGTGGCCAGAGCCTGCAGCGCCCGCCCTCGCGGAGCCTGGCTCCCTGGGTCGGGCGGTGTCTTTGCCCAGGGTGTGAACAAAGGTAACTTGCCTGCAGCCTTACCTCTCGGGTCTCCCGTCCCTCCAGGAGATCGACGAATATATCACACAAGCCCGAGACAAGAGCTATGAGACCATGATGAGGGTGGGCAAGAGGGGCCTGAACCTGGCCGCCAATGCCGCAGTCACAGCTGCCGCCAAGGTGAGACAGGGGTGGGTTCAGACTCCCCGGGGCTCCCACCCTGTGCATCCACCCTGTCTTCAGGCCTTGGAGGCTTTGGGCTGTGCAGCTCGAGGCTCCAGCCTCGTTTCTTCTACTCTCTGGTCAGTTTCCTCCTCTGGCCAAAGGGAGAAATATCCCAACACCATGGTAACTAACCTCTGTTTCCACCCCGCCCACCCTCCCTCCCGCTCTCTTGGTGCGTGGTGGTAACCCTAGGGCCAGGGGGTGCTGTCCGAAAAGCTCCGGAGCTTCAGCATGCAGGACCTGACTCTCATTCGAGATGAGGATGCACTGTCACTGCAGGGACCCGATGGCCGCCTCCGACCTGGCCCTGGGGGTCTCCTGGACACCATTGAAGACCTAGGTAATGGCAGGCATGGGGCTGTGGGAAAGAGGACAGGGTTGAAAAGCCCAGCCTTTATTTATTTATTATGTATATAGTGTTCTGCCTGCAGGCCAGAAGAGGGCGCCAGATCTCATTACAGATGGTTGAGAGCCACCATGTGGTTGCTGGGAACTGAACTCAGGACCTCTGGAAGAGCAGCCAGTGCTCTTAACCGCTGAGCCATCTCTCCAGCCCCGCCTTATTCTCCTTTCCTCCCCTAACTAGGAGATGACCCTGCCCTGAGTGTAAGGTCTAGCACAAGCCAGGCAGAACTCCGGACTGAGACCTCAGAAGATGACCTGGGAGATAAGGCAACCAAGAGGACCAAATCTATCAAAAAAGTGCCCAAAGCTGAGGTGAGAATGCAGGGTGTGGCCTGGGGGAACGGGGCCGCTGGCGTGGGACCGGGCTGAGCCCCATCATCCTCTCTCCATAGCCAGTGGCTTCCAAGACGCTGAAGACCCGACCTAAGAAGAAGAGTTCTGGAGGGGGCGACTCAGCCTGAGGTCCTCCCCTCCCCCCACCCCTCCAGTGTAAGACAATAGCGAGCACTGGGAAGAGCTGCAGCCCCAGCCCCCGCTCCACAGTGGGCCACCAGCCCAAGTGTTTCAGACCCGAGAACCCCCTAGATGGCTGTTTCCCGCGCCCCCTCCCCATGGACACTCCTCCAGAGGGGGCTTGGCAAAGAGGAGGGAGGCGCAGCTGTAGGGTCGAGGACAGAAGCCGATGACTGAGCCCTGGAGGAGGTGGGGGCTCCCTGGCCAGCCCTGCTCTTCTCGCTGCTCCAGCCCCGCCCCGCCCATCCAGTGCCTTGCTGAAGACCATGGCCAGCCCCTTCTCTGAGGCCCGACGTGCCTCCACCGCTCTTCCTTGAATAGGGGTAGTGGCCACAGTCCAGACAGACCAAGGAGGGGGCCTTAAGGCACCTCGAGAAGGGGAAGAAATGGGGGCAGATCCGAGGGGGGAGGGTGTCACTCGGGCACAACTGTGAGTGGCAGACACGGGCTGAAAATGAGCAACATGGCCTTGCGGGAACTGCAGCTGATAGGGCTGTACGCTCTACATCACCGTGGCCAGAAAGAGGAGGGATTCCAAGGGTATGCATGCTGGGGAGGTTGGGAAAAGTGGTCGCTTCCTCCCTACTTCAGCCCTGGTCTGTCTTCCTCTTTACCCTCCCCTGCTGGTCTCTCAGAGGACCCGAGCCCTTGACAGAAGGAGGCTCCAAGGGGTCTCTCCCCCATCCTTCCATCCTGGATCTTTTACCCATTCACGCCCCTAGGCTGGACTCCTCCTCTCCTAGGGCCCACTGTAGAGGTCCTGCCGAGCTGGCTCCTTTCCTCTCCTGTCAAGGGGACCCGTCCTACCTTGCCATGGGGTCCCCTTCCTGTGCCAAGCAAACCCCTGTCAGAACCAGCCTGGACCGCTCCCCCTGGTCCTGGTTCTACCAGCTTTTGAGGGCCAAGTGGAATCCGGGAAGAAGGAAGAGAAACGAGCCAAGAGGCTCCTAATTCGGTAGTGCCCACTGGATGAGCCAATAAATGAAACTCTGCCACCTCCTCCATTATGGCCTCTGTGTTGTTCTTGTCCCCACCAAGACAATAAGTGGGAAGGGCCCCCCTGAGAAGTAAGACCCAACTGTGAGGAGAATAGCAAAAGACAGAGGCAGGTGGATCTCTGAGTTCAAGGCTAACCTGGTCTACAGAGCAAGCTCCAGGACAGCCAGGACCACACAGAGAAACCCTGTCTTGAGAATGAATGAATAACAATAAGAGATCCTTCTTACCCACTCTGGAATCCTCTCGTCAAGCCCTCTGAAGGCATCCCTTTCACCGTTGGCCCCTGTCGATTTCTATTGCTTTGATAAACACCATGACCCAAAGCAACGTGTAGAGGAAAGAGTTTATTTCAGGTCACACTCCATCCCTGAGGAAAGTCACGGCAGGAACTCGAGGCAGGAACCTGGAAGCAGGAACTGAACCAGAGGCCACGGAGGAACACTGCTTACTGGCTTGTTCCTATGGGTTGTTCAGTCCGCATCTGTATATGGAGGACCACCTTCCCAGGGCGCGGCACTGGCCGCGGGGAGCTGGGCGGTCCCACATCTGTCATTAAGAAAATGCACCACGGGCAGCCTATCTGATGGAGGCAGTTCCTCAAGATTTCCTCTTCTCAGATGCCCCTCGCCTGAATCAAGTTGACATAAAAACTAGCCAGCACAGCCCTGGAGGAATTTGGCTTTTTTTTTTTTTAATTGGAAAGGAGAGGAAGAAGGTACCAGTTAAGGAAGAGACTCATTCTAGAAGATTCCTCATAAAGTAAAGTTAGTACCATGCTAGCACTTACATATAGCCAGGAAAACAGGCCAGGCATTCTGTATAAATTTGATTTGTTACATATCACACACACACACAAAAAATGGTGGCTAGGTAAGGAGACCATTGCCAGATTCTGCATGGCCAGACTTTACATATACATCTGGGTTTTTTGTGGCATGGCAAAAGGCCTATGTGCAGATTTCCAGGCTCCCTGTTCTGTTGCCATGGAAACATTCAGGCTTCCAGAATTCTGGGCACAGGGCCTGCTTCCTGTGGTGCAGGGGAAGAGAGGAGAGATGGAGACAGAATGGTTGGAAAGCCTTTTAGGAGAAGGTTGGCTGGTGGGACATGCTGGCTCTGGGTGACCTCACGCTGTCCCCTCATTCCCCAGGTCCACCTGCCCTCTCTCCTCTCCCTCAGATCTTCTCAGGCTGGAGGAGTATAAAGGACATCGGTTAGAGCTAGGTGGAGGCCACTAAATCACTGCCTGGGTCCTCAGTGGGCTTTGAGAGGTATTAGCTTTAGGGCTGGGGTCTAGCGTTATGTCCCATGATCAGGCTCCTGGGAACATCAGGCAACCCTCCGGGCCGATGTTCCAGACTGTGATGGCCTCAGGCCTGAAGCTGCGTTAGCTGGCTTCTCCCTTTCTGTGGGTGTTCCAACCTCCCAAGAACCTGCTTAAAATGGGATTTCCAGGCCCTGACGTCAGAGGGAAGCCAGCAGCTCCCTCTCGCCTGTGCCAGCTCTACCGTGATTAGCAGAGCTAAGCGCAGCCTTGCTCAGTCTGCAAGGAGGCAATGCTAGCAGAGGAGGGAGGAACGTGGGACCCTAAGCAGTGGTCCCTGTATCTGCCGCATCCCGGGGAGGGGGGGGGGCAAGAACAAGCTGTTTCCGGGTCGAAAGACCCTGCTGGCTTCCCTGTTAACTTAAAATTCAGCTAGTGCGTGATCATTACCCTCCCAAGCGCCATAGTTCTTTCCTCTCGGTTCTAGGACTCACGCCTGGCTTGAGGAAGAAAACGAGCATCTCAAGTCAGTCCCGAGAGCTGGACAGCGGCTTCGGTTTGGGTCTTACCCAAGCGTAGGCTGTGGGAGCTCTGCCTGCAAGGAGACGAAAGGCCCACTAGGTGGCGCAGCTCCCTCCTATTGTGAGATTGCATCTTCAAGCAGAGAACAATCTCTCCAATGGCTCAAGGCCTGGAGACCAGAAAGCCTCATACTCTACTCCATGGAAGAGGAGACTAAAGAGGGTGGGAGCATCTTTGAGGGTAGACAGGACAGCTGGGGGTTCTCCAGAAATCTCTGGCCAAACCCAATCTGTGTGCACCCCCACCACTCAGAACAGGAGGTGGACACACAGACTCAGAAAATAAAACCTTCTGGAAAGGATCCTGCACAGTTCTAGGGGCGGGGAAAAATGCTAGGCTTCCTCCAGGAGGGACCTAACCTGGGCTTCCACACTAGCATCTGAGAGACACCTAGTGAAATGGATTTCAGGGTCAGGAGAGGAGGGGGGCAGAGCTGGGGGTTGTGGGGAAAGATTTCCACATAGTTCTTGCACCCCTGACCTGGCCACAGTGGCATCCCAGGCCTGCCCCAGGCTTCCCTAACCCCCAGCCTTTTCCATTGTTTTCGTCAAGGATAACCCCCCTCCCCAACACACACACAACTCCTAGAATCCCCAAGTATTCTTGCAGGGTCTGGCAGGGTAGAGAAGCCTCCTCAGTGACCTACCTTTCTCTGACCTCTCCCCCAAACTGACCCCAGGCAGCCCTGTCACCCTGGTGAATTACTCTCTCCTTTTGTCCCAGCCAGATGAGTGATCAATAAATAATGTTGCCTGAAATATTGATGGAGTTTTACACCAGCATCCCTCAGCTGTGCCTGGCAGGGCCATGACCCTCGCGGTAGCCCTTTCACGGTGCCAATAAAAGTTTTCTCTTAGGCCAAGATTTCCACCTGATCCCATCTGAACCAAAATCATGACTCGGTTTCACCAAGAGATGTGAGAGATTAACTTAACCCGGCTGCCTGAGAAGGGTAGTTCGGCGGAAACGAGCAGAGACCCTTCCCGATTGATTTCCGATGATGCCATCAGGATCCTACTTCTGTCCACCTCGGGCTTGCCAGGTCCACTTTTGGAGTGGCCCAAGCAGAAGGTGCCGACGAGGGGGGATGGTAGAGAACACCTGTGATCCAAGCCCTCAGAAAGAAGAGGCAGAAGAATTGCTCCAAGTTGAAGCTAGCCTGGTCTACATAGGTTCCAGACTAGGCAGGACCACATAGGAGACTCTGTCACAACAAAACACACAAAGGAAATAAAAGTGCCAGGTGGTGGTAGTGGTGCACGCCTTTAATCCCAGCACTCAGGAGGCAGAGGCAGGCGGATCTCTGAGTTCGAGGCCAGCCTGGTCTACAGAACGAGATCCAGGACAGGCACCAAAAATGACACAGAGAAACACTGTCTCGGGAAAAAAAAAGAAATAATAATGATCATGTGATCAGACGTCTCTGGCCCAGGCCACTCACATCTGGTTTATTCTCCAGCATGAAGGGTAAGAAGAGTAGGAAGAGAGGGGAGAGTTGGAGATGAAGGAAGCTCTTGCACTGACTCAGGCCCCACCGTCCCCACTTTGTGCTCGGCAGAAGCCGTATCCACTCAAATCACTGATGAGTCTGTCTGCCCAAGAACCCCCGCTCTCCTGCTTCACTAGGTCTGCTCCTGAAGTGCACAAATCTCAGCTCAGATGTTATCCCCTCACCCCCAAGCTGCCAGGTGTCCCCTCCAGGCCGCCGCCATCACATCTGTCCTTCCTGCTGTCATAGCCAGCCCGGTTCCTTCGTGCCTGTTTCGGAGTCTATTTCCCCATCAGACTGCAAAGCCCTTTCTCTCACACAGATGGGAGTCAGCGTTCCAGCCACATTCAGTTCTCGCTTTAATTCAAATGCTAAATCGGGAAGAAGAGCAGTTTCACACTCCATATTTAGTCTGGGAGAGAAAAAGTGAGACAGCATGGATGTTACCAGGGAAAGAAGGCTGGGCCTGGGCTTGGAGAAGGTGGAGAACCTACCCAGAGCCCAAGAGAAGAGCGTGAAGCCCTTGGCACCTCCTGAAACTGGTCACCCAGAGCCCCAGTCGGTCCTTTCCTCCACCAGCTCACTCAGCATTCCCTCAGAGAATGTGGCCATGGCTGAGGGAAGCCACAGGATAAGAGCTACCCAGAGCCAGGCCGTGGTGGCGCACTCCTTTAGTCCCAGCACTCGGGAGACAGAGGCAGGCGGATCTCTGTGAGTTTGAGGCCAGCTTGGTCTCCAAAGCAAGTTCCAGGAAAGGCACAAAACTATACTGAGAAACCCTGTCTCGAAAAACCAAAACAAAGCAAAACAAACAAACAAAAAAGAGCTACCCAGAACAGCGGCTGTGGCACTGTGTACCTGGAAGAGCACTCAGGAGTTAGAAACAGGGAATTGTGGGCCCAGACCTAGGCTGAGCCGTATAGGAAGACTGTCTCAAGAAAACAATACAACTGCAATATCAAAAAGCCTATCCAGAGAGGCACAGGTAGCCACGGGCTATCACCCATACCATATGGCTACCCCCATAGGATAATTAATTAACTCTGCATCCACAGCACTGGGACACCAATGTTTTCAGCAGCCTTATTCACGGTAGTAAAACAAAACAAAACAAGAAACAAGGGGTGAGAGAGATAGCTTACTGGTTAAGAGCACCTGCTGCTCTTAGGGACGTGGGTTCAATCCCTAGCACTCACGTGTGTTTCACAAACTCCATTTCCAGGGTATCCGAGATGCCCTCTTCAGACCTCCACAGGCACCAGGCACACATGGTGCATAGGCATCCATGCAGGCAAAACATTCACACACATAAGACCAAAGTAATATTTAAAGGGAAACCTCCCCATCCATGGTCAGATAAGTGGACACACAGAATGTGAAATACACATGGCATGGTGGATGATGTGATCTTCATACAGGGATGCTACAATGGGAACCGTCCACGAAAGCCGGGGGTCATAGCACAGGCTTTTCATGCCAGGATTTAGGGGCAGAAGCAGGCACATCTCTGAGTTCGAGGCCAGCCTGGTCTGCAGAGCAAGTCAAGTTCCAGGACAGCCAGGGCTACACAGAGAAACCCTATCTCGAAAAGAAGGGGGAGGAGGAGGAGGAGGAGGAGGAGGAGGAGGAGGAGGAGGAGGAGGAAAGAAAGAACAGTTCATGAAAACATC